CATAGGCAAGTTGGGATGCAAATGGGATCCAGGCAGGACAAGTGAATGCCAGGGTTTGCACGGCATCCGGAGGAGTTGCCCCAGCTCTGCTCATCAGATATGTCAGACGAGTCCAGGTTCATCCCGGGGATCCGGGTCCCTCAAAGAATCCCTGGGTTTAAAATTTTTCAGGGGCTTGACGGTGTTAGAAACCTTTCTTTAGTAACTTTACATATTAACTTGTTAGCCAAACAGCATATATTCAGTGAGGGTCCATCTGGTTCAATAGAAATAGATCTTTATTAATAACATGCACATCATATGTATATTTAAAATACATATACATTTTTCTACTATTCACTTTAGAAAACAATTTCATAAAAACCTTTAATCAGGTCCCAAGTAATTTTAAACATTAAAAAGCCGTTTTTTGTTATAGAACTAGTAGGTATTATTCCAATTAAGTGGTGTATAATCACCATGGATTTAACATAATGCAGGCTCATGCGTTTCAACAGAAATAGGTGTTCCCTTTTCTGCTTTGTTAATCATGTCAAATATATGATGATATACTTGACAACACCTGCCACAGTTATTATATGCAATTGTGATTCCCTGCTGAGAGTGCGCTGTACAGATGGCATTTAAAAGCTGGAGACAACTTTTTTACAACTTTCTGAGTTCCCGTGAGGGGTGTCTGGCGTTGCAGGTAACCCAGGACCCAGTTACGACAGAAACCAGAAAAACAGGATTTTGTGAACGGCAAAGAGGAAAGCAATCTAAAAAAGAAGAGAAGAGTGAATTGCCGTATCCCCTCTGTTTCCATTGCAAACTAAGGTCAGGGTTGTGTTTCCCAAGGCCCTGCTGAGTACCGAACCGGATCTGTATAGAGGGCACAGAGTTATCAGCTATACATGGTTTGCAGATTTACAGAACATATACAAAGGCTCATATGAGGATGGGACTTTAAGGCACGATAGTCCATATACTTAACACATTCATTGAAAACAAAAGTTCAATTTACAGTGCAATATAAACCTATTCAAGAACTCAAGCGGCAGCTCGATAATCACTTTCACCGATAATTAGGCAATTGAGGAGTACTTCTGCAGTGCACAGCAGCCCCAGCCCTGCACACACTCACACACATGCTGAGCGTCAAGTACACGAGAGGCCTCTCTGGCTTCGGCGAGAGGATCTGTGCAAAGAAACTTAGATGATAACTGAAGCGTTTACAGGAACAGGGCCCTAATATTTTGGGGTGTCTACGCCAGGTCATACAGGCAGAGATGCTGCCCCGCTGAGGCAGGCTGCCTGTACCCCTCCTGTCTTCAGCCACAGCTCGTGCGGCTCCAGAAGGTGATCCCACGCACGCACCCATGCACCCACGCAGCCACGCCGTGCCTCCCCGGGAGCCACCACCGCCCCTTCTGCATCCAGGATCAGGCCCGGCACTTACAGCCAGTTAGGGAAAAGCGGCACAAAGAAAACTTAACTCATTTAAACACTAATTACAGTCAAGTGTGCTGCTATTCCGAGACGAAAATGAATTGTCCTAAGCCAGTCATTGTCAAAATGATCAGCTATCATTACCAAGTCTGTCCTTGTCACCCAGCTCGTCTATATTCTCTCTGATGAATATACAATCTCCAAGGCAACTGAGTCAAAGGGAAGGAAGGACTTTCTTTACATCCAGTGCAAACATAGCCCATATGTGGGAGTTCCTACTGCAGTCATAATAGAATATATATATATATCTATGACTGAAAGTTGACCACCTACAGATTCACACATCAGAAGCCAGAAGAGCTGAATTGTAGCTACAAACCCAAAAAAGAAGAAATCACTGTATGTAGCTGTATTAAAATGCTGGTACCCGGTAACTTGGTAACTAAATGTTAAAATCAGTATATAATTCAAAAAGTGTCAAATTAAATATTTCGGGAGTAACTTGCAAAGTTATTGAACCTTTTCACTTCTTTATCACCCCATAAACTATGTTTTTTAAGCACTAAAGCGGAATATTTCAGACCCACTTTTCAACAGCACAAATCACTGCGCAAAGCAGAAGGCAGTAAAAACTTGAGCAGACTTAAAATATTTAGAATTGTGGGCCTTTGATTCAATTGCATACCAAAAGTCAACCATAAAAAAACCCAATTTGTTTTCTAGAAAGAAAGAATCAATTTTAACAGCTCCTAGAGCAAGTAGAAATAAAAAAAACAGACAATGTTTTTTGTTCAAGAAAAAAACACATGAGAAAAACACGAGTAAAATATCGTCCTCTTTCACAGGTAGCTCACGGAGTTTTGTCATCTGATCCAGATTTTTGTCTGTTATATCTGTTCAGTTATTGTAACACCTTATCAGAAAAACTTTCAATGGGTAAGAAAGTATCTGCCCCTTCCAGCAGGCAAGGAAGTTATTCTTCAAAGATGAATCTGATGGGGGCAATGGGTTTTTTCAGGTGAGGTTAAAGGCTTTAATCCTACTGAGCTTTTTCATTCCACTGAAACGCTATTAATTTTACATAAAAAGTTTTGTTTTTTCAGGCCAGAACCGTCCTCTGTATATAACAAAGTAGGTCAGTGAGAGAACAAAAAGCATTTTAACATCTCATGTAGCTGCTAGATCATTATGAATTCAGGCGAAAATGGACACGGAGAAAAAAATTGCATAAATCAGATCACTGAGCGGAAAATTACACAGTTTGAAAAATCAGAAGACAGAAGTAGTTTTCCTTTACCACCTAGCAGTCATCTAATGTCCCTACCCCAGCCCCTAAGTTCGCACGAGGCGCGCAAGCTGCCAGCAGAGGCCAGAGAGCTCTTTGGGGGATAATGGCACCTCTCACAACAGCCATCATATCATCAGCCCACATCCCACGCAGCAGATGGGTTTCGCTGCCAGCTTTTACTGGTGGTAATAGGGCTGTTCCACACACCTGATAATTAGCCTGGCCTTTCTCAGCCGGCCCCTGTCGAGATGGGCACGGCCACTTTTAGCTGGAGATTTCTCAAACTACGCCAAATGCGAGCTTAAGCGTTTGCAGGATTTGGGGCTGGTGCAAG